AGAAACTCTGGTAACCTAATATGGCAAAAACTGATTCAGAAAGATGTGCACAAGTTTTAATTGGCAGAAGTCTGTAACTTTTTCATTTGTTATAAATTGGCGAATTTCCAACCACCTAACGTATATAACCAATATTTTATCAGTTGCCTTTGTAATTCAATGGAAGGAAAGCCAAGGTACCTCTCTGTATACATGTTTGTCAAAATCAGTGAAAACATAAAAAAATATTTCAAATTTCAGCGAGCAGCGGCCCTTGCCTCCTTTCGTTACTGACTAGGGGAGGTAATAATGGCAAATTCTAAGTTTGGTCAAGTATGTTGGCCTAACAACCTTTACCTATTGAAATGGATTCAAAAATAAAACTGTAGAAACCAACTAAAAGGAAAAAAATACCATTTGACTTAAAAAGAAATAAAACTTTGATTAATCGTAATCTTGATGTACCCATTACATTTAGAAGTCCATTATATAAAGATACAATGTTGAATTGATCACGTAAATAACTTGCAGTTAAACTACTTAATTCATTTCAAAAAACTTGCTACAATTCTCTACTTTTCCACCACTTTTGAGCTGGATCATGATTTATCCAGTTAAACCATTGAATCCAAGAGAGGATTTCGAGGCATTGAGTTGGACTGTCAACCTATGGTTAAAATAATGGAATAATACGACCTAGTCCCATACATCACTCTTAATATGCTTTAATTGGTATTTAATTAATTATATAATTTAAAATATTGGTAATTTCATTCTTAATTATTCTTTTATCATTTGGGTGAGATAGAGAGAACATCCATCATGATCCCAAAGGAGGAGAGAGGAATTTATAAGAGTTTGTGAATTTCAGCCCTTCTTGCAATCTTCATCCACTTCCCATGTTTCTTTCTTTAAAATGCTATGTTGCATCTATCCAACATTATGGATCCAGGATACAATGCTTTTACTTATAATGTAAATGATTCAATAAAATATTTCTTGTGTCATCAGTCACTTTATACTTTTGTTTGAATTTAAGATTTTTGTTGTGACTGTATTCTAAGTTCATTGGATTTTATGTGTGTGATTGTCATTGTCAATGCTAACTAGAAAAACTTTTAGGGAGTGTATTCAATTGGAGCTTTTCGAGACTTTTGCGAACCCTTTTCATGTGATGACTTCTGTCGATTTTGTGGGATTGGGGTCTTTTTTTTTTTTTTTTTTTTTAAACTTCTATAAACTTTTATTTTAAAACCTTTAAAGACTTTTGTAAAATTTTAAAAAACTTTTATTTAAAATATAATTCACATGGATCCAGTGCAACGGTATGAAATTTTCACATACGAGATGATGGTTCCCTCAGTCCCCTGACCCCATATAATAAAAAAATAACTCTTAAAAAATAGAAATTTAACTTAATTAAATAATTTAATCAAAATTATGAAATATATATTTCATTATTCTTTTATGAAAAAGAAAAAAAAATCAATATTAAGTATTATTAATATGACGTATCTTTAAAGATTAAGCAAGCAAATATATTTAAATTTAATTATAAGTTAGTCTATCTAAAACCTTATAATTTAATTACAAATAAAATTTTAGTTGATATTTAAATTTTTCATAAAAAATAGAGATAAACAATAAAAATGTGTTTGATAAACTTTATTTTTCATGAAAAATATCATTTTCCCAAATTTATATTTTGGAGCATTTGATTGACAATATTTTTATGAAAAACGTTTTTCAACTTTGATCATGCGACCATATTTTCCTCATTTCCTCAAAATAAAGAACATATTTAGGGAGGGGTTGTTTTTAATTCCTAGGTAATTAACTCTCTCTCTCTCTAATCTATCTTCTTTTCATCCACCCACCAATAAAAAATGATCAATTATAATTATTTCTAGGTTGAAAACTAATCGATCAAACACATTTAATTAATAATTTTCATATAAAAATAATTGAATTGCTTATAATTTATTTTTTTATGCAAATTTCATGTTCGCAATTAAACGCACACCGAGAGAGAGAGAGAGAGAGACAAATTTTGAGATTTTATTGTAGTACTTTATGTTTAAAAGTTAGCACCCTAAAAACTTTTATAAAAGTCTTTAAAAATCATTAATAATTAGAGATTTCTAAACAGTTTTAATTGCATCATGACTTTTAAAAACTCTTTAAAAATTTATAAAAAATTTAATTCAATATTCCAATACTTTTAGATAGCCCCATATTTGTAATCGACTTATGACTTCATGTGCACAATTGTGGATATGTTGCATCACGGGTTACATATCGTTGGTCCGATATTGCCGATCACAATGTTTAGTTAGGGTGAAAGAAAATAATTAAATAATTAATTTACAAAATTTTATGGGAAGATTATAGAGAGATAAAATATTGTTGTAGATATCCAAAAATTGAATCCATTAATACATGCCACAATATTATTAAAATTAATCTTTTAATTTTGAAATGACCTTTTTTTGTAATTTTATTAAAATTTTGTCATTTTTTTTAAAACATAACGTTTATTATTGGCATTTTATCAATGTTTTCCTAATTATTTGATGACGTTAAGGCATGAGTTGGGCCCAGTGTTTTGGGGACTCATATCTTGGGTTTGTTTTTGTACTATTAAACAGGGGAAAATTTCATAACTAAGGAATTAATTATGACACATTTTCAAACAAGAAAACAAGTTTCAAATTTCTAAAATCAGATTTTTATTAAAAAATATTTATAATGTAATTAGTTAATTAATTATTTTATTAATTAAATATATTTAGGTCACAGATCTATACAATTTGGTCACAAATTAACAATATAATTAGTCACTTATTATTTTTTGGTCACAAATCAAAAATTTTATGTCACAAATTTTTTTACGATCACATTTAAAAAATTTTGTAAGTCACAGTTTGTTTATTGGTCACAAATCCAAAAATAATTAGTCACGAATTAATTTTTAGTCACGACTTATCATATTATTGGTCACAACCTATTTTTCGGTCACAAATTAAAAATTTTATAAGTCACATATTATTTTTCGATCACGAATCAAAAATTTTATAGGTCACAGATTAATTTTTCGGTCACAATTCAATAAATTATAAGTCACAAACACAAATTTTATAGGTCACATATTATTTTTCGATCACGAATCAAAAATTTTATAGGTCACGAAATCAAAATTGTTATTGGTCACATCTAATTTGTTGGCTACAAATCAAAAATTTCTTAGGTCACAATTCATTGATTAGTCACAAAATCAAAATTTTAATTAGTCACAATTCATTTGTCAGTCACAAATTATATCAAAATAATTGGTCACAATTAATTTTATGGTCACAAATTAATAAATTACAAGTCACAAACCAATTTATTGGTAACAAATA